GGTTGTCTGGAGTGGGATATAAGGAGCTCTGGTGGCATAGTGGTTAAAGCATTGGGCTGCGAACCAAAAGGTCAGCAGCTCAAACCACCAGCCACTTCACGGGAGAACAATGAGGCAGTCTGCTTCCATAAAGATGTACAGCCTCTGAACCACTATGGGGCAGTTCTACTCTGTCCTATAGGGTTGCTGTGAGTTGGAATCAACTCGATAGCAGTGGGTTTGTTTGGTTTTTGGTTGGAGTGGGGATAAGGAGGGACTCCCCTCAAAGAGCATGAGGGAAGTTTCTGGGGTGATGGAAATGTTATACACACCTGGATCTTGGTTTCATGGGTACGTATTTTGTCTAAACTTTTTGAACCAGGCACTTAGAGTGTTTTCATTGTACACAAATTATTCTTCAATAAAAATGCTTTTAAAAGAAATGTATTCATGTACTCTTACAGATCTCTTTGATTATTTTGGTTTCTAGTCAGGGATATATAAAAGTTTAACTCAATGACTTTCAAGTATCTATACACAGAACATCACCAAGTAATGGAAGTAATGGGCTCAAGTAAGGGACCTAGACTCATAAACTCAAAGCACCAAGTCCAAGTCTGACTATGCACATTAGGAAACTGGTACCCAAGTATCCTGATTCCAAGTCCAATGTTCTCTTTACTATTTATGTTGATGCTGTAAAATTTACAAAGCAAGTTAATACCATTGCCATTAAAATGTTGCTGTGCTCAGAAAAAGCTGTTAAAATTAACATGTCAGACATTTCCTGAAGGAATGACAGAATGAGCAGATTACCCCTTTGCAAGTCCTAATGAAATAATAAGCAGCTCTGTGACACAAAGGCTAAGTGTTGAACCGCTAACGAAAAGGCAGGTGGTCTGACCCACCAGCGGATCTGCAGGAGAAAAGACCTGCATTCCGCTCTCGTACAGATTATACCTACAAAGTCCTATGGGGCAGCTCTACGCTGTCACAGGTCACTATGAGTTAAAATCCCACAGCACCTAACAGCAACAACGAAATAACAGATCTAAACAATACTCGTCAAAGAATGCTACACTCATTAGGGGAACTTTATCGTATAAAAGGTCAGGCTAACAATCCCTTGAACTCACTGATATCTACCAGCCAGATATTATGAGCCTCCTGACATGACAGACTAAGGAGCTCTGGTGGTGCTGTGGTTAAGGCATTGGGCTGCTAACCAAAAGGTCAGAGGTTCAAACCCACCAGCTGCTCCAAGGGAGACAGACAAAGCAGTCTGTTTCCATAAAGATTTAGTCTTGGAAACCCTACAGGGCAGTTCTACTCTGTCCTATAGAGTCGCTGTGCCTCGGAACTGACTTGATGGTAGTATGTTTGGGTTTTGATACAACAGGCTAGAAAACATCACGAGTGAAGCAGGTGTGCCAAAACCCCAACTGAGCACAAGCTGACAGGAATTATGGAGGGCAGAGGAGTATGTTAATGATACAACGAGGACAGTCGGCAACATCTGGAATGTGGGACAGGTGACCTGGATTCTTCTGCAAATAAAGGGAGTTTTTAAAAATGGAAAGAAGGGGGAATTACTGATGATTAAAAGATACATCAAGAGACATAACCAAATGCAAAGGATGGACCATGGTTGGATCCTGATGTGAACGAACTGTAAAAAGACATTTTTGAGATAATGGGAAAACTGAACATGTATTAGTCATTACGTGACATTAAAGAGTTAATTTTGCTGGGTATAATAAGAGTTGTTTTAAAAAAGTCCTTATCAAAAAGGGAATTTATGCCTAGGGACCCTGCGTTTACATTTACAGTAGTACAATGATTCAGAAAAGGATCATGAGAGTGGCTGCACGACTGAAGAATGTAATAGATGTCACTGATGTGTACCTGCAGAGACTGCTGAAGTGCTGCACGCTCTGTTGTGCATATTTCAAGGCACACACAGAGTCAGAGATGCATACGAAAATATTTTTGAGGGAAATAATATACTGTCTGGGATTTACTTCAAATGCTTTAGGGAAAAATGGTGTGAGTGGGTTTGGGGGTTAAAATGAAAATGGCAGAGAGGTGATGGCTGCTGATGGTGGGTGACTGTAATCTTTTTACTTTTGTATGATAAATGTTTTATAATAACTTTATAATAAATATATTCTCTAGATAGTTATCTATAAAATGTTTTTACAATTTCCCTAAGCATTTATATTCACATGGCCCATGTAACTAGAAAGACATTCATATGAAGTAACATTTGAGCATAACTTTTTTATCCTCCTGAAAACAAGCGTGCCAACCCCCTTTTGTTAAAAAAGAAAGAGGTGCTCTGCCAGTGTTATCTGCACACTAGTACTCAGGGGAGTATTCAGACACTACAGACAGAGTTAGTACTGAGGGGAGTATTCAGACACTACAGACCAAGTTAGTACTCGGGGGGAGTATTCAGACACTACAGACCCAGTTAGTACTCGGGGGAGTATTCAGACACTACAGACCCAGTTAGTACTCGGGGGAGTATTCAGACACTACAGACCGAGTTAGTACTCGGGGGAGTATTCAGACACTACAGACCCAGTTAGTACTCGGGGGAGTATTCAGATACTACAGACCCAGTTAGTACTCAGGGGAGGTATTCAGACACTACAGACCGAGTTAGTACTCGGGGGAGTATTCAGACACTACAGACCGAGTTAGTACTCAGGGGAGGTATTCAGATACTACAGACCGAGTTAGTACTCGGGGGAGGTATTCAGACACTACAGACCGAGTTAGTACTCGGGGGAGTATTCTTCAGACACTACAGACCGAGTTAGTACTCGGGGG